GCCAAGGGGGGGGGGGGGGTCCGCACCGTGTACGCCATATAACGTTGTGGAAGCCGGGGTTGGTTTTTGTGGTTGAGGTTTAGTTTCTGTAGCCCCGCAGAAAAGGTGTCGTTTTTTATTGTCAAGAGCCGCACCTCCACTCCCCAGGGCGAAAACGCTCCAGGCAGGGATTCCAGACTGAACGCAGAGGTACGGAAGGGCCTATCTGATATATTTCGTAACCGTCTTGGTGTGGTGCCAGCGTCTGTATGCCCCCGCCGGTTTCGCGTGGTAGGTCACAATTCTCGACCAGCTTGATGGAATTGGCTTTGTGAAATTGTAGAAATGGAGGTGATTGCACACTATTCTCAAGACAAAACGGTGGGGGACACCGGGGGGGGCAATAGGAAACCAAGACGTGACATTGAACCGATGAACATGCCACTAGGGATATGCCGTGTGGACCATTCGGGTGCTCTGGCGTAGTGATGAGTTGAGGGTAGGGACAGCTGTAGTGGGATCTACTGTACACGGGTATCGATTGTACGAATGCTTCGAGTAAAATTTCAGCAAGAGCCCATTTGACATGTCAAAGTTAAGATTCACTCAAAATATTAAGTCTGAGGATATAGGTTTGTCTCTACATATCCTCTGGAGGATACTGTTTTTCTTAAGGTGGTCTTCCAAGCGTTTGGGGATTTGTGCCGTCGCCGTAAAGAAAATGTTCTGAAAACTGAAAACACTAGGGACATACGCTGAATGCAAGAGGTTGTTGTCGTGGTTTGATGGCCATTCTTACCGAATTTTTTCGAAAATCTCGGGTTATTCCTCGGGGTTGCTATTTAGCGGGCTCGCGAGGGGGGAGATAAATTAACCACATCACGCATTATCAGGTTTGTTTGCTCACTTGGTCTTTGCTCTAGCTTTTTGTAAAGGAGGAGAGACAGGTGTGACTCAACATCATGTTTGGGCAGTCCTGTCCCCCTCTCGTTGCCGTTCTTGTCGTCTAAGGGTGCTGCCCGGGCACAAACACACAGGAGACGACGTTATTTGCGTAAAAATCGGACGGAGGACCTCTTGGAATAGGTCGCTGGTCTTCTTGCAGAACCTCCGAAAAATCGCCGCCGTTCCCCGTCTTTCCGCGTCGTGTACAATACACAACGCTCTTTTTGCTGGTGCCTGCTGGGCTTGGGACTTAAGGGTGGGTGGGTGCAGTCTATTCAGGAGTCCGCAGCGCCAAGTAATGGTTGTCGGTCGGGTCCCCAGGTACGTAGGTGCTGGGCAACCAAAGGTTAGCAGCAGAAACCTCTGCCCGCTGGGTTGGGCATGATGCCGGCGATGCTAAATATTCCTCCCAGCAATTTACCTCTGCTGACGGAACTAATCAATGAACGCCTCAAGATCGTTTCGCTTCGCTCTTGGGGAGTTACCCGTCTTCCTCCTCGTCGACCCTGGGGCGAACCACAGCAACATGCCACAGGTGGCCAGCGGGGAAGGTCGGGCACCGATCACAACCTGTCTGTGAAGGTTTGGGTGAGGAGGTTGAAGGACGGGATCGACCTTCAACAGGTTGTAGTAACAACATGTTTGTACCTATCCGAGATGCGGGATTAGCTCCACAACCTTTGGCATGCAACTTCCCCATCCATACGCTATAGCCGGTGCCCAACCTACCCACTACCTCTAGCCACCCGTACAGCGTTTCTCGCTGCCGGCTGCCGGCGTCTATCTTCTGGGTGGTTCTATGTATATAATAGCGACTGCGTCTTGTGAATATTGGCGAAGAAAGAGGCGCGGTATCGTAACTTCCTACAGTAGGAACCAATGGCCTCCTTGCGCTGCTGTGCTTCCTGGCACTGCTGTTGGCGTGGGAGTTGGCGCCGCAGCAGCAGGGGCACCGGCGGTGTGGTTCTTCTGGTAGTGATGATGTCGTACGTGACCCATGGAGCGGCTCTCACTGGCATGCCGATGATGAGCATACTGCCGTAGGTATGCATCCACACGGCCGCACATTACATGTAGTCTGTTGCGTCGTACAGTAGTAGTGGAAGAAAGCCAAGCCCTGCACCGGTACGTTGCCGCGCTTGGGTGTCTCCTACCACCATGCGCATCCCGCAGGTGATGCGCCCATCTCACCCTTGCGTATCGACGAAATATATACTGCTGTACCCCAGAGACGGGACGAAAGACGGCATAAGTGTACCACAGCATCGATCGCGAGGCTTGAAGCGTTGCATCCATCCCCTGGAGAGTGACGAGCCCCGTGTGAGAAGAGGATAAATAATCATCTCCATATGCCCTCTCTCTCTCTCTCTCTCTCTCTCTCTCTCTCTCTCTCTCTCTCTCTCTCTCGCACACACACACACACACACACACATACACACACTTCTCGCAGGAGTCCCATGCCCCGATGGATGTCGGATACAATATCCTGTTCGCACGCGCGAGATCCTGGGGCGCCCGCTGGCTCTTTTGCCGGGCCCGTTTCCCCTCGCGAACCACTGGAACTCCCTGAACTGCGAGTGAGGCTGGTTCCCGTTCGCCAGTGTCGCAGTGTCGCACAGCAGTGCGCTCCTCTTTCAGGTGCGCTGTGTGGCTGTGTGGTGCGTGTGATATGGCCGACGACGAGGCTCTGTTCTCGAGCGTGTCACGAGGCGACCTGGCTCGTACCCAGGCTCTCCTGGCGGCTGGAGCGAGCGTGGATGGCTCCCGCAAGCTTGACTGCTGTCCGCTCGCCGTCGCCGCGGCACAGGGAGACCTCGACATGACCTCTCTCCTGATCGAAAGGGGAGCGAAGCTCGACCTGGGCGCCCCGCGCGACGTGCACAATAGACTCACCGGGTCGCTGACGATGGCGAAAGGGGCCCGGCCGATTCACACGGCGATCGGCAGCGGCCAGTACGAAACGTTCCGGCTCTTGATGCGGGCGGGAGCAGACCCGAACGTCGCGAACGTGGACGGCTTCACGCCGCTCATGTCGGCGTGCCTGGTTCAGAGGGTGGGGCCGCACCGGGCGTCGATAGTCCGGGAGCTGCTGGACGGGGGTGCAGACCCGGCAATGGTGGACACCTACGACCTGACTGCCATGCACTTCGCGGCCGGCAAAGGCAGGGTGGAGCTGATCGACATGCTGGCTGCCAAGGCCCCCGCCACGCTCCACCGGGCGGGGAGGGATGGCTTCACGCCGCTGGGGAAGGCGGCGGCCGGCGGCGAGGCTGCCGCCGCCGCCCGCATCCTCCGCCTGATGTCGGCGGTGGGGCGGAGGCCACCACCGGCGGGGGCGACAACCACGTCGCGGAGCAGGTGCCCGCTCAACGTCGCGATGGAGGCCCGTCACTGGAACGTCGTGGACGTCTTGCTGGACAACCTCGACCCGATCAAGAGCTCCGTCGACTTCGGCACGGCCATCAGCAGCGCCTTAGTCACGAAGCGGGCGAGGCTCCTGAGCAGGCTAGTCTCCGCGGTGGGAGAGGAGAGAAAACAGAAGAAGTCCTTGGCCGGCATGACCTTTAGCAGTAGCCCTATCCTGCACATCGCGGTGGCGCAGGCAAACCCCCTGACGACAAGCGTTCTGCTCGCCGCAGGCGCATAAGAGAGCGTCGTTGACGCGGTAGGCAGGAGCGCGAGAGACGTCGTCGCGATGTCACGCGACGTCGACAGCGGCCTGCCGGACGTGGCGGCCACGCGCCGCATGCTGGAGCGGGGCCCGGCGTTCCGCGCTCGGGCCTGGGCGTGGCCGGCCACGCCCACGGCCGCTGCGGCCACAACAAGCCCAGCTGCAGCCGTCTCTCGGGTACGACAACAGAGGTCTCCGGTGGTTGCTCGCGTCCGTCGGCGACCACCCCACTTTGCCAGGGCAATAGCCAGGTGTGTGATGTTTGCGCCGAGATCGCGCCGAGATCGATCACGGGTGCATGCTGCGTTTCAGCAGGTTTTCTGTTTTTCGTTTTGGCGCTGTTGCTGCCCCATCCACTCTTTCTTGCCGCGCCATGTCGTCAGCTGGCTGAGGTTGTTGGTCGTGTGCGTGTATCGTAGCTTCATGCCGATCGTAGGCCTGTGGAAATACGCTTCGTGCTACCTGTACGTAGAATGAACACGTGTGATAATTTACGTAGAGGCGACGGTGCAATGTTGAGCGGATAGGCCCCCGGGGTCTGTTCGGGCATGTGAACGTGTCTAGAGAGAAATACGGACAACTCACGAGCGATACCTCCAGGAGCTGCTCTGTGACCGTAGGCATGTTACTTTATTGCGTTTCTCACTACGGTATAACATCAACGAATCCATCTCTTCCACAGGCACGATTAATAGTCAACCGGGCGTTGTTGACGCCCCCCTCTCTATCTAACAACAACGAATCCATCTCTCTCCACAGACAGGAGTCCAGGATAAATTAGCGATGAATCCACAGCGTTAGCGGAATCGCGACCTGTGTTTCTACGTTTCGTTTGAATCATTCCCATCTCGGACGCAGCACCGCCACTACAATGCGGACCTCTCTCACTGCTGCAACTCCGCCATGCCGGCCTCGCAGCGCGAGAGAACCAAGCGCACAGCGACACCGCCTATGAAAATGGTGTCTTGTTGTTGTCGCCATGCTTGTATTGTTGTATATCCGTTTTCTGCCGGAACAGACACAGCAGTGGTTGGCTTGCCGCACCAAAAGCCAACCCTCGACAGCACGACCCTTTCGACACGGCGGGGCGTGGTTCTGAACCCCTTGTACGAGGAGTTAATTGGTGACCTTTTTCCCGTCCCTTTTTGGCGTTTTTTTTTTTAATTTTCATACATGTACTCGGAGTATGACACAACGCAACGAATTAATCGGTTTGTGATTTTTCATCTCTTGTGATGATGTTCTCACCATGTATGCCCGGTGTACCGTTTCCTGAATCACATGTCACACCATTTTACACGCCCTCGTTGCTTTTTCACGAATGACAACTCTTCCCCGTTTGTTTGATTGGATTAGGTTTAGCAGGCTACTAGGTGTGCGTGGTGGTTGAATTGCGGGGTAAATACAATGACGTTTGAAAACCACGCTTGGAAAGTCCCGATATCGTACTGAGTTTCCTCCCCGCCCTCGAACGCTCTGCTTTGGCCGTTCCCAGGTACGCCGGAAAGGAGGAGGAAGTGGCGGGGAGGGTCCTTGTTGCGGACAAGGGGAAGCGAAAGAAGGGTGGGAGATGAGAGGCGGCGGCTCAAGGGGAAGGGTCCTGTGCGCAAGAGTGTCGTTCGCCCGCTGGCACTCGGACCGACGACGTGTTTGACGATCCGAGAAGAGGTTCTAACTGCTGTTCCTGCGAAACGTGCTGGCCGCACGGTCGCCCTGCAGCGATCACTCGAATTGTTTTCTGGGACGGGTGTCGGTTGCCTGCCGTGACCATGGCCGGTTAGCGGCAGAAAATGAAGTGGGGATAATGTAGATAACACGGCGTGCGTTAGTTGCGATTGTCCACATGGTGTGCTCTGTCTTTTTTTGGCGTGTTTCGGGCGAAACCTGATGCTAAAGTCGTTGTGTTGATTATCACCGTGGTGTGTGAATGTTGACGGGTGTGGTTGTGTTTTTTATTATTTCTTGCTTGCCTTTTGAGCCGCGGCTCAAGACTCACAAAGAACACCACGCAATGTCAACCAACTGCTGTTAGCCGGATAAGAATACCTAGCAGTATGCCGCATTTGAATGGGTGTGCTTGGGTAGTGTAGAAACGATAGAAAGTAGATTTTGGGCGCTTCGCCATTGATGGTGGCTGAGGGGTCGGGGGGCGTTGTTGTGTTAAACTTGCGCTGTCATTGGACTCCCCCACTGCCGCTTAGTTAGCCAGGTTTACCCGTGCCCTGTAAATGAGCGTCCGCCGGGAATCCGAACTATGATTGTTCTTGTGACCCAAGTGCGAGATCCCTTTTCCTTTCGTCGCTCCTGGTGTGTTGGCCACGCGGCCAATGGTCCATCCTGCAGATACACAGCATTAGTATGCCAGTATGGGGTAGACATATGACGCAGACGCAAGTCAAAATTCTTGGCTTCGACCACTTGATGATAATAAGCGTATAAATATATATGACGAGAACAAAGGTATCGAGCTCACGCTGGATAGTTTCACCCGCCCTACGCCTGCGCAAAAGATCAAGCGCTTCGAGTGGCAGGCTGTGACCTGCGCCGAAAGGGTGTGACATCCACAACGAACGAACGAACGAACGCCGAAATTGACGCAGAGGATGCAATGAAGAACGTCAACTTCAGAGAGTTTTTGAGAAGCAGAGCTATACCTAAGAGTTCGGACCCATCCTACGCTACTTTAGACTATTGGTCACCTGCCAAGAATGCACCACGTAAGCGTCAGTGTTTTGGTGAGGAGTCCTGCTCCATTGTTTTGTTCTCAATCAGTAATCGAGAAGTATAGGCCAGGTTAAAAAAAAACAGAAAAAAGGTGTTGTTACCGAAAGTAATGCGGGTGCCATTTTTCACTGCCTTCTGTTTGCCGACCGGCCGTCTTCATAGCATTTTAAGCATTTCCACCACCAACCACGCTGCTGCTGCTCTCTTCTAGTCCAGTTTATCAAGAATCTCCGAAAGGGGCTAAGCTAAACTATGTACACTTCGAGGTACACTTCAAACTTCTCTCGTATTGTACTTTGTTTTCGCTTTTTATGAGTGTGGTTGCAGCAGTGCTTTGATGTGAACCAGACCTCCTCATAGTGCAGAATCCTGAGCAGCAGTTAAATGTAAACCCTTTCACCATGGCTGATCTCCTCCGATTCATGGCACCCAACGCCGTTAGCGTGGTAGTCTACTACTGTCGTTGTGTTATGAATTTGAACGAAAATGCACTTGACGCAGGGGCGCCGCAGTTTCGATATTGGGATAGAGGTGATGTACCTTCCGCGAGCCCCTGCGTCAAACTGGTCTCCTGGACTGGACTGTGTGGCAGAACGCCACACCTTGTTTGCCTTGGGAAAGCCTGTTCCGTGGGCGGCCGCCGATCACAAGGAAAACAAGATAGCTGGTAAGCTGACCGGTCCCTCTGTTGTTACATCGCGACACACCTCGGCTTGGCTTTGACGTGTGCATTGTGCACTGCCAGATGATGTGTGGTTTGAAATTGCATCACCTCTGCTGTTACCTTCTATCCTCACCATCATCGCGGTCCAAACGGTACTACTATTCGCAATGCCTGTTCGTCGGCCGAGGGTGATGGTCGTCGTCGTTGCCGTCACCTTGTTGGACTTGGTGCTCGATGCGCTGATGCTCTGCGTTCCACACATGTTCATTCCAGCGGTTCGTCTGCCAACAGCAGCAGCGAATTGGCTGGTTTTCCTTGGCACGTGGCAAGGGCAAAGGCCGTACGTTGTACACGGCCTGGCAGCCCGAAACAGCTGCCACTGCTGCTCCCTGCTCTGCGTGCGTGATTCTCAAACTCCGGAAGTGCAGTGGACAAATGGGGGGTTGTATCGGCTTTGTGTGGGTCCTGTGGATTCATCCCCAACAAGTTCGCTCCCGTCTTGCCCTCTACAAAAAGTTGCACTTCTTCTCCAACATGTGCATAGTAGGGAGCGTTTTTCAGTTGTCCTTCGTTCGTGCACCGCATCGTCTGCGGTACATACATCAGTTTTCCAACTGCATGTCCTTCTTACATGGGAAGGCCTGGCGCGACAGGGTTCTCTGCCCAGTAGACTCTTTGGGAGCGACAGATTTCGTGACAGCAGCAGTTGACTCACGGCCCAAAGTGGTGCGCGGTGGTGCGGCACAATTTTGATTTGTTTTTGTTTTTACCGAAGGGACCCAACCGCCCTGTTCACAAACATCACATTCCCAGCAGGATGTATACAAGAGGTCCGACTTCGACCAGCTGTTTGCACCAGTTCTGTTTTTTTTTCGCAATCCATCCGCGTAGTGACACAACAGGATTTTGAAACCCGGCAACAATGCTCTCTGCCTCTACAAGTAGGCATGCTCGAATGGATGAATAGCGGCCATGCCGCACGCTCCGTCCCGTCTTCACCTTCGCGGCCACCTCTCCCATTGCTGATTCCCTCTCGCTTGCCGTATATGTTTGGCTTTCTCCCCCTTCCCTCGCCCCGACACGTCCCGACAGGCCTGGTTCTCCGACAGGCCTGGTTCCGTTGAAGGAGAAGGGGCGCAGCGGTTGGCGACGCAAATGTCGACCGGAAGGATGGCCGCGTGTGCTCTGACCGCGAGGGTTGCTTCCGGCTCCACCGTCGCCTCCGCCGCGGCCTCCGCGGGTGCGGTCGCCAGGACCGCCTCCAAGCGCCGGCCACGCTGTTGGTCCACGGCCGCCGCCGCGGCCGCCACGGACACGGCTAGGCGCAACGACATCACCGTCAACGGCATCGACGGCGGCGGCGGCGGCGGCGGCGGTGGGTTTCGTAGCCGTGGCAGTAGCGCTGGCGACGAACACCTCGAGGCCCTGCTGTCCCTGGTCCTAGCACAATCATCCGCTCAGGATAGAGAGGGGGCGGCGATCGGTCCTCCTCGCCCGGCGCTGGCGTGGACGACTCGAAACCGCAGCCTCAGCGGCGCTGGCTCGACTGCCGTCGCTGCCGCTGCCGCCGCCGCCGCCGCCGTTGCGAAGAAAGACCGGAGATCCCCGCCAGTTGTCGGAAACGTTGTCGGCGAACTCGCAGCAGCAGCAGCAGCAGCAGCAGCGGGAACAGCAACCGCCACAATTTCTGCCGCCGGCCCGACACGTCGCCCGTTGCGCCGCTCTCCGCCCGGCGGCGGCGGCGGCGGTAGGGGTGGCCGTCGCGGGGGAGGTGGCTTCGACCGCGGCGGCGGTGGCAAAGACCGGGGGTTGTCTACCGATGACGGTGGCGGTGGGGGTAGTAGAAGTGGCGGCGACGGACTGAGGAGGGCCGGGGTAACCGAGAAGGAGAAGGCCGCCTTCGAGGGAAGCCGCTGGTTGCAGAAACGGCTCGGGCTCAGCGAGCAGCAGAGCGTCAAGATCGTGCTGGCGGCACCGCTTTCCTTCCAGTGCGAAGGCGGCGGCGCTTGTTCGGATTCTTCCGGCAACGCCGCCACCACCGCCGCGGTCCCCCTGGACGCAGCCCCGCTTGAGGTGCGTCTCAGCTGGCTTAAGCGCCGCCTCCACCTCAACAGGAGGGACGTACAGAAGGTCGTCCGCGGATTTCCCAGGATCTTCGCGGCGAACGTGGAGTCGGATCTCGAGCCCCGGCTGGCCTGGCTAAAGGCCCGGCTCGGGCTCAAACCCGCCGCCATCCGGAAGCTCGTCGTGTCGTTCCCGACGCTGTTCGGCAAGAGCGTCGAGGACGGCCTGGAGGCCAAGCTCTCGTGGCTGGAGTCGCGGCTGGGCATGGACAGCCGGGAGCTGTCCAAGATGGTGGTCAAGTACCCCACCCTGCTGAGCTACAGCGTGGAGGACAACCTGGAGCCGCGCATCCGGTGGCTGGAGGAGCGGCTGGGGCTCGACGACGATGCCGTTCGCAAGATGGTCCTCCAGTTCCCCGCAGTGTTCGGCTACAGCATCGAGGACAACCTCGAGCCGAAGATGTCCTGGCTGCAGGCTAACCTGGCCCTCGACCTCGAGGGGAGCCAGCGGCTGGTGCGGCTCGCCCCGCCCATCCTGGGCGCGAGCATCGACGACAACCTCAGGCACAAGCTCTCCCGGCTGGAAGAGATCCTGGGCATGGGCCGCGAGGAAGTCGTGGCCGTGCTGATCCGGAAGCCGGCCCTCCTCGCGCTCGACGCAGATGGCAACATCGAGCCCAAGGTTCGCTTCTTCCTGGACGAGATGGGGGCCAGGCGGCGCGACGTCCGCCAGGCTCTGGAGGCCAACTCGAGCCTCCTCATGTACAGCCTGGACAAGCGGTGGCGGCCGAGGGTGGCCCACATGAGAAGCCTGAGGGTGCGGCCGGTGTTCTCGGCGCACTGGAGGGCGATGGCGACGAGGGGCGACGAGTCCTTCGGCGCGTGGCTGGAGGAGCAGCAGACGTTGCTGGGGAAGAGAGACGGGGTCGCGAAAGGATGATATAGATAGCGCACCATGATAGACCGCACCGGTTTGATTGCTATCGCATGTTGCTTCGCGTTGTGTTTCGCTTGTGCGGACTGAAGCTTTTTGCTGCGGAAGTGGGACGGGGGGGGGGGGGGCCCCCCGGATGAAATAACGCCCCGGTTTGATTGGGCCCAGTTTGCTTGGGGCCGTGTTTTTTCTTCTTGCCCGGGCCGAGTCTTTTTGCGGCCCCCCCGGTTTTTATTGGACATATTTGGCTTGGTTTTGGGTTTTTTCGGGCCGGGGGGTTTCTTTTTGTCCCCCCCCCCCCCCCCCCG